GCCCAAGAGTTGGCGGTGAGTGATGATGACTAGCTGCCTTCCCTCTAGTCTTAAACTGCTAAATTAGGGACGGCTAGCACAGATAGCCCTCGTGTTGCTTTGCGCGAAATCAAAAACAAACAAACAAACACATTCTCAACGTTATAACTAGATTGTTAGACTATGGAAATTGCTTCACTTCTGAAACAAACACTTTTGCATTTTTTTCTTTTAAATGCTTTGGCGATTTTTCTTTTTCCAAATATACAAGGCACTTTTCATTGACTGTTGAAGGCCTGGAATGGCCTAATGGTTAACGTTCTGGACTGTGAATCCAATACTCCATGGTTCTCAAGTTACCGCACTTCCACGCTCGAAACTTTGGGGCTTTGTGAGCATTATAAGAGTGATTGTCAAATCCCATTATTCGGTCAGAGTTGCCCAAGAGTTGATGGTGCCTTCCTTCTAGTTGACCAGTTCATAGTTAGGAACGCTCTGTACAGATAGCCATTAATTAGCTTTGTGAGAATACCTTCGTTGATCTCAATGGTATTGTTCGCTCTCTAAGAAGACGTTACAATATTGCTATAGTAAGCAAAGTCTCTAGATTATAATCCTATTGAGAACTGTTGGGCAGAATTGAGCTGGAATATTGCTGACCACGACCCTAAACCACCTACCTGTAGCTGAGTTGCAGTACCTTCTGGTGAGAAGTTGGGATGAAATCACGGTGGATTACATCAATAACGTAATTGACAGCATGCCAAGTGCAGAATATTTATTTGAACTCATATAAGGTTACAGACGCTATTTATAATAATTTGATATTATGTTTTGTCATTATATATGTTTGGTAAGGTTTTGATGCAAGGCTGAATTACACATCTTTCTACAGGTGTCTGATAAAATTGTTTGCTCTTCTATTGAATCGTTCGTGATGTCCATAAACCAGTCTTATTATACAAATTACATATGTAGATGTTTATTATAAAATACATTTCTCAATTTGACAGCGCTAAGTGTATATGTATTCCATCTTAATAATAATGATATTATTTGTTACAAAATATGCAAACATTTTGGTGAAGACTGTATTTAGGTGTTATTAATATTTTGTAATATCCAGTTTAACAGAAGTACAAATAAGTTCCAACTCCAACCTAACACATTTGTTAGTAAATCGTAATAATTATCATGAAAACACGTTTTGTAACTAGTAACACCTTTTTTTTAGGAGAGCAGGATGGAGACTTGGACTTCAAGAAATCACTGGTGTCGTTTTTATTACTTTCTTACTGGGGGTATTTTATCGACCAGCATCCTTGTACCACCCACAAAGACGAGCCATTCTTCACTTGAAGAGTCTGCAGAAGCGATCTAAAGCCAAGGATAAGAAGGCGATTGTAGAAAAAAACCCATTCTTCGACTTTGGAGTGCTGAAGTCTAGAACTGTACAGATACTTCTTCTGGGAACTGGACTGGCTGCCTTTGGAGCTCACACACCTCTTATTTTACTCGTGAGTTGTTCAACGGTTAGTTAGCATCAGGGCTAATCAGGTCTCCCTTCTAGAGTCTACGAAGAGTCCTCCTTAAATTTCTATACGTACCCTCTTAAAGTTTGGTAATGAGTAAATTGTCTAACATATAGATGCATGTATTTGTCACGTACGCTATATATCATTTTCTTTCCAAGTCTATCTATATTACGTTATAATATCACAGCATTACACACTGTATACCTAAGAAAAGTAAAATAAAGCTATCAGTACACTATTCAAATTTTTATTTAATCATTTTCTTTCCGTGAATTCCCTAACTCCACTTGCACCCCAAATTATCTCTACGAGGAGGAGTTCCTTCTGAGCACCACAGATTAGTAACGAAATCATGACAAGCTTATAACAAAAATTGTATGATTTTTACGGAAAATTAGTTCTACATGTTTACTGAGACATGCGTGTAATTAAGTTAAAATACTATAAAAAACGGCCATCTGTGCTCCAATACAAGGTGGTATTCTTTAATAAGATGGTGAAATGTATTAAAAACGTTGATCCATTAACATTTTATCTAAGTGTTATCTATTTTGAAAAGAATAAGTTTTCTCTTCTTCAACCATAAAAACGGTTTTATGTTGTATTTTTACTTTCAAATTTGGATTAGAGGCCAAGGCCAGTGTTTAAGATAATATATTTCTTACACTGAAATGTAATGATCATAACATCATTTTATAACTATTTTTCGTTTTTACTATATCTTTTAACAGTTATACAATATACATGTAGGTTTATCAAGGTGAAAAAGAAGGCTTGGATTACCAGTCTCTGCTGCTGCTTCAAGTATTTTTAGGCATAGCTTTTATCTTTGGCAGTGGAGCATTTGGCTTCATCATTGTAAAAAACAGTGTTCAATGCATGATCGCCCGTCAGTACCTCTGTCAAGCTTCTTCGTTCATGATTAGCGCTTCTCTACTAGCTTTTACAGCTTTAGAAGAATATCAGGGATACGTGCTTTTTGTGTGGATTTATGGACTTTTCTACGGAGGTTACAACTACTCGCTAAAGATGTTTACCTTCGAAAAAGTTCGAGCTCGCAATTTTGCGAGAGCTTGGGGTTTTGTCCAGTGGGTACAAGCCGTTCCCTTTGCTATAGGAATTCCTGTTACAGGTAAGTAAGAATCTTTTCGTTATTAGCCGAAAGGCTTTGATATCTGAATATATAATTCATATTCTTAATATTCATTGTATAATTTGATTCGGAGTGGTATTGCTATTTCAAAATGAACGTATATTTTATCGAATCAAACAGATAGGCTTTTGTAGTGTATGTCGATGAATATAATAATACATTATATATGAATAACTAAAAGCAACGCTAAAGAACCTATAAAAATATGAGAAAACAACAACAAAATAAAAACACCTAACAGCAAAATTTCTGGTTGATCACATCTCCCTTACTGGTCAACCGAAAACCACAGCAAGATATGTTAGTTGCACATTAAAATAGAACTACCAATACAAGTTGTGTATTTGAAACTGCTGAATAAACAGCCAACATATTTTGACTCAACCCAAAATAGGATCCAAAAATTATATGGTAAAATAAGTTTCTGCCGAATTACTCCGCTAGAGTTTGATGACTATATATGTTGCCCACCTCTTATTTGTTTTTCACATATATCTATTTGACTTATTTTGCTGACTCCACAACTTCAAAAGAGTAGTGTTACAGGTTTTGTTGAACTTTAGAAGCAATGATATAAAACATCTTGGTATATAGCATGCTTATGGTAATATTTTTCTCTTTACTGATCGAGAACAGATATTCATTTTATTTCTATTATAATTCAACTAATAAGCTCTGAATGATGTCGTTTCTACAAGTAGGTTCGTTTGTCCAACTAATGTGTTGTCATGTCAATAGACTCTTTCTGGTAAAAAATAAATGTTTTTGTGAAAAAAACAAAAACGGTAGCTTGTCTGGTTTTATCTTCTTCCTCTGATGCGCAGCAGCTAGAAATAACTGCCATAATCAATTTAAAATAAACGAGCAGAATTTAAGGTGTCTTTTGGTGGGACGTTGTAAATGTACCTTGGATGATATTTGTAAGTTACGGCTGCTACTACACCTTAAATATAAAGATAGTTATAAATAAAATTGGGTTAGATCATCAAATGTTTTAATTTGTTAAAATAAATAATTTACTCCGTTCGTAGCACATAAAAAACTACAAACATATCAACACCAACTGCAAATGAGTGAAAAATAATATATAATAATGAGTCGTATTCATACTTAATTCTTGTTTTATAATTTACGAAATGCTAATATCAGTTATATTTATTTTTCGTCTTAAACTGATCTAATAAAACAAGATAACAACAAGTTTCAGCGGAATAATTATTTTATCCGACAAGACAGACTCGAACGTATGATAAATTTTTATGACCTGTCTATCTAAGTGTTATTTTACTAACTCTGTTTTTGTTTACTAACTGGTTTTTGTCTACATTTTCACTAAATCACTATGACTGTATTAATAGAAATTCTAAGATATTTAATTGATAAGCATTTATACCAATTCATGTAAAAAAATCATATCGGAAAAATATGCTATTATTCGATTACGTAAAACCTAGATGTAATCATATAACGTCTAAAGGAACAAACCGAAACTCATCTGATATGAATAATTTCATATCCTATTTCTAGCTAAAGCACAAGTTTTTCTCATACCGAATTTTTTCATCATCATTTTTACTGAATAGTGATAACTGACTTCTGAATCACTACTGGACTTATGAATGCGCATCCATCAATCAATTTTAAAACGGGAAGATTCCATTTTATATCAACTGACAGAAAAAAAGTACTATAACTTTCCCTTAGTAACACATTAATCAATTAGATGCATGTATCGACTCTACAGTCAAGACTAAACAAGAAAACTGACTTATTATCGATACTTGGAGAAAGATAAATTAATCATTTTACTGTTATTCTAGTGTTACCCTTCTAAATTTCTAATATTAAACTTTTACTTTGTAATATATCAACTGTCAAAAGCAATTCACGTGTGAATAACCCTCTGTTCACTAAAACATTCTGAAATACTGTACGTCCAAAACGTCAGAAATTCTCCTAACATGGTGTAACGTAGCAATGTACACAAAATTTAACTACTAATATTTTATTGGGTAGAAAATAAACAGATTATGGTAATAGTTCTCAGTTATCTCAAACTTCCACTGCAGAACTGAAACAAGCAGATTTTCAAGAATTAAACTACTTTGTGTGTTTTCACTTTTTCTTAAAACTCCTAGAGGCAAAGTAACAAGTAACATTTGATCCACCAAAATTTCACTACATAAGCCTAAAAAAATCCATATTGCATACATTTTAAAACTAGTATTATAGTCTCGAAGAAACGATAATGTAGACATTCTTTTGTTTCTAAATACATTCTATAACTATAGATTAACATATATTATTCTAATCTAATTCTTTATACAGGTTACATCAATGAACAGTATGGTGGAAAGATGGGTTACTATCTGTCGTCTGCATTTACGTTTCTGGGAAGCGTAACTTTATTTCTCATAGACGTTCATAAAAGAAGTGTTCAAAAGCGGAAAATGAGTATATTTAGTGATAGTAGAAGATGTTCGGACACTTGCCTCAGCAGCAGGAGCCGACGGTCATCTTTTCAGGATTCGACGTTTGGACGCAATCCGCCGCTCTCCCGGCTCCAGCAGCGCAGCTTGACCTTTAGTAACTACACGGACTTACGAAAGCAGGAGTTGACCTGCATTTCAGAAGAAGTGGCTTTGGAACATTTTATGGTGGACGACTGTATCACTTCCTGTAATAAGGAAGAGAAATACTTGATGTTAAGCGAGTTCGAACAAAATTTAAACAAAACCCAAGAGGAACTAGTTGATGAAAGAAGGAGTAAAGCATTCAGAAAAACCCCTGTCATCAGTCCTCCCAGATTTGAAACTTGCCCAAGCTGTATGAAGTACGTCCCGCCACCAGAAAACTGTACCAATAATCAAATACCCATCTCAGACTTGTCGTTAGTTCGGTCGACCGGCCGTCAGTTGGAAAAAACTGCTTGTAATGTGGATGTAATTGAGGAGGTTACCACGCCATTGTGATTTGTTTCGAAATACGTAAATTAAACACGGGGAAGATAACTTGCCTCCTTAAGACGTATGATGAACATATTAATTCGTATTTTTAAAGAATAATATGATTGAAAATAAAGATTTATGTTTTCTCTGATCAATATCATTAAGGAATTAAACTGTAAACTGGCCAGATTTACGATACTCGTCGTCATAACTCTAAACAAGTATTTGACAGACACCGCATGGTCCAAGTAATAGCATCTTTGTTATATTCTGAATTAAACTATATTGTCTTGCCATCTGGTGCTAAGAATATGAATTACTATACATATATATTATTTTTGCTTGATCATAAAAGTTTACAGTGATTTGATGTTCCGATTTTATTATTAATCTCAAACATTCACCTTAGTATGAATATACACAGTGAAAGCGAAGGTATTTTAGGATTTTGAAATTTACTTCTTCCTCATAATATTAGTTTACTTCTATTACCGTGCAATACGTCAAATATTTAAACCTATATACGGATATCTACTAATGTTTATCAGGAAGGGGTTTGTACTATTAGACGAAACTGAACAAAACAACGACAAAAAACGACCTAATACAACACATGTATTCTGGAATTTTAAACATTTAAGACAAATAATGTATTTTTGTACAACATATAAATCATTATCAGCCTAAGAAAAAAATAATATATATAAAGTTCTTCTATTTAATGAACAGCCATATAAGATTTTTTTTCTACGTAATAACTGTTCGGTATTCGATGTTTTAATACGTTTGTTTGTTTGTAATTAAGCACAAAGCTACACAATGGGCTATCTGCGCTTTGCCCACTACGGGTATCGAAACCCGGATTTTAGCGTTGTAAGTCCACAGACATACCGCTGTGCCACTAGGGGGCTGTTTTAATATAGTGGATAATTTGAAGAAGCAACGTTCTTTAAGCGCATAGCACAGTAAGCCCTGCCTCTAGCATGGAAAAACCTAGCCCCAAACTGGGAACGACGTTATTTTTATGATGCTTTTCCTAATGTAAGAAAAGAAGTATACAACACATGATACATACAATATTTCTAACATAATTTGATATAAAATTTACGTAGCGACTTATTGTTGCGATGAAAAAAGCAATTTCTTAATAGAAACTCACGTCTAACTGGAAAAAAAAATCCTATAACTAATAGATAGCCCTCGTGTAGCTTTGCGTGAAATTCAAACAAACAAACAATATTTGTGTTTAATTTAGCATTTTGGCAATGTAGCACGTTATAAAAAATTTCTATAAAATATCTCTCACACTAAGTTTAAAGAATAACGTTCCTTGAAAGGTCCGCTACATCTTAGTTTGTTTTTTCCTTGATTTATTTAACCAGTTATGCACATTAGTAGAATTATTCATTGAATGTATTGTATTTGTTGCAGTAAAGTTGCACTATAACGTATATGCACGATATCCGCCACCGGGGATCAAACCCCGGATTTTAGCGTTTTAAGTCCATAAGCTTACCGCTGATCCACCAGAGGACTCAGTGAATACAAGGGTTCATCTTCTGTGAGTTAAAATAGTTTTAACTTATAAATAGAAACATTCAAAGGAACACATTATGCAACAGTCACAAAATTAGAAGTGAAGAGCAGACCAAACTTTAATATATTTTTCGTTTTTAACAATTAGTTTCCTCCTATGAACTGTTTCCATAAAAAAATCATCTATGTTATATATTCTGGCAAACTAATTACCGCTTAGTGTTTGTGATTTGTTTTTATGTTCCTGGTGGTTAGGGCTCGCAACCTGTTGGAGACGGGTTCAAATCCCGTCACCAAACATGCTCGCCCTTTCAGCCGTGGGAGCGTTATAATGTGACAGTCAACCTCTTATCGTCGGTAAAGAGTAGCCCAAGAGTTGGCGGTGGACGATGTTGACTAGTTGCCTTCCCTCTAGTCTATCACTTCTTAATTAATGACAAACTAGCACAGATAGCCCTCAGACAGAGTCAATAACCAAAGCAACCGTAATATGCACATAATGTTGACGATACATTATTTCGTAATTGTTACTCCGAATCCGCATGCATCTCTATATTAGTATTAGCATAACGGTCGTTTTGAACAATACATCCAGATGTCACCAGTTCATCCTCAGATTTCCTCCAGATATTGCAAACGATTACTTTACACTGTTTAATTGTTTGTTTTAGAGCAAAGCTACACAATGGGTTATCAATGCGGTGTCCACCGCAATAAATCAATCTCCTTATTTGAATCTGGTTTAAGTGTGTATAATTAAACTGAATTTGAGATTTGTATTTCATATACTTTTAGTCATGAGAATAAAACTTACTAAAATTGCTTTTATGTTTATTAATATTTCAGAATTTAAACTCATGTTTCAGTTTGTTTAGCGAACAGAAAGAACGAATCTTAGAAAGTTTGAAACGCTGCTCTTTGTCTTTATAAAAAGAAATGCAACCATTGCTTTTGTTCTTGGGTTTTTAATCGCAAAGCAACATAATAGGCTATCTGTATTCTATCCACCGTAGGAAAGCAAACCCCGGATTTTAGCATAGTAAGCACGTAAACTTACCATTGACCCACCGAGAGACTAGTCATTGCAAAAAGTCAATAATATAATTTGTGTTTTTATTTTTGACTTTTGAGATAATTATCTCTGATAATTGCCTGTACTGCCTCAAAAGCTAGATAATCATAATCGCTTCAGTCAAACTTCTAATGGTAAACACATAGTAATTCATTTATATGTGTATTATTTCGAAGTACTCACAATAAATACCAAATATAAATGAATAACTTGAGAAGTTTGATAACAATTAAAAAACCATTGCAGTTTTGGAAGGTAATACCTAACAATAGTCATTAGTCGAAACTTGTATATCAAGAGTGGTAAGTCAGTGATAAAGCTAGCTCAGAGTTACCAGATCTCCGCCACAACTAGGAATTTTAGTCTTCCTGTGGAAAGCAAGGTGTAGTGTTTTGCTGTAAATGAAATACAAAGGGCAATATACAGCATTGAAATTCAAATAAAACACTTTATTTGCTGAAGAACAACAGTAGTTAACTACTACATTATAATCTGAAAATAAGTAACATAAATGAATAACTGTATCAAACTTTAGGTAAATGAAATAAACTATATTTCTAGTGAGATTGTTTAAATAATAAAAAATACATACGTAGTCAAAGGATGTAGAATGTACGAAACGAAGACAAGATTTTCATAGCGAGTCTTCACTCCTTCATAATCAGAACAACCTGTCTGAAAATGACAGAATTGCCTTCACAATTCACCATCTTTCTGTAGCTACCTAATTAGAAAATTGAATCCCAAGAGCTCAGAAATATCTCTGCTTCATGCGAAAGTCATAGAGCAGCCTTCTAAACCCAATATAGATAATTAGTAATGAATAACTAAAGAAACCAACGCCAAGAGCTGAGTTTAGTATATGAACGCTACTGGTTGTAGGGTGTTTCAAAACTTAGAAAATATTTAGAAACATTTTGCATAGACTATATTCATTTATACTATGGTAGAATGACATATATGATATTTTAATACCACAATCTCCTTCTCCCATCTTTATGCTTGTCCTCGAACTGAACCTATTTTAAATTTAACATTGATTTAAAATTTATAATGTGATCGAGCAAAATTAAATGAAAATTACATCCCTCAGCTAGACTGGATGCAATCCCAACAGAACATCATGAGACATACAAGATGATAACATACAAAATGAACCACACATGGATAAGATTCATATGTACAACAAACACTCTCACTAACACACAATCTGCTACCTAAGCATGTAACATTATAAAAAAGAAAACTTTTAAAATACAATGTTACATAGTTAAAACCATTCAGATACATTAGAAACACAGATAACTGCAAATTAAACCTATTTTAAAAAAGTCACGAAATTTAGTACTAAATACAGCAAAATTAACTCATTATGAAAAAAAGACTAGATTTACACACACACACACTCTCTCTCTCTCTCTATATATATATATATACATATGCATGTATCTTTAGTGATTCATTATCTGTATATATATATATATATAAGCACTGAGAATACACAATAATAAAGTATTAAGGAAAAATAAACCATCGTCATAATGATAAAAAGATGGACAAGTGTGAAAAAGATATGTGACATCTAATATTGATTAAGATGTAAAAGATAGTGAGGCACTTGACTGTTGATTGTGTGGTATAAAAATCGTAAACAAAAGAACTGAATACAAATAAATAAATATTATTGAATCAAATTAATAAAACAAAACTGATGAAATTAAACAAAATCAGTGCATCAAGGTCAAATTCAGCAAAAGTCAAAATCAATATAACAACAAAACGCATTCCAAGTATCTATTATCATCTGGATTCTCTAGACATAGAATAAAAAATGAAACCCTCCTCCTTTTTGAACAACATAAATTCCTTAAGGGTAAAATTTCACACAGATAGCACAAATAAATCAAACTCTTTATAGAGCAGAATCAAATATGAGTGTTTACCTTATCCAAACAGAGCGTCGGTGATCATGGTCTTCCACAGATCTCTTCTCCTTGAGGCACAAAGAATTACCAATGCCGATACATTCATCCATTTCAATAGACTCTTGACATTAGTCAACCACTGTCTTCCACGGTCTATCACTCTTTCCAGTTACGATCAGACTTTCAATTACATGTATATATATACACATATAAAGGAATCATTTAACTGTTTCTGGACAAAAGGAGTGTCCCTGATATTCCCTAATTATTTCATTATCGTAGAATAATTCAGTCAAACTGCATGAAATTTAGTACAGGCTTTGTAAAGGTTTTTGCAATTTCTTCATCAAAATATCCTATAATATGACTTAGTGCTTCTATCACTTTGTAATCGTGAAACCTGGAAATTACTTTTTTGGGAGACATTGTTTTGGAAACAAATGAAAACATTGAAATACTTCCTATTGTCTTAGAATTCTTCTTCTTCTTAATTATTGATCAGAAATACCATCCATTCAGCTACTTCAAAATCATTTGATATTCAATTATATTTTTCTTTTGATACTTGAATTTCATGATTGTAGCATTCATCATTCCTAAATTTAGCTCATA